CAATTTATTCAAACGTGAGCTCTTCCCCTCCTTCCCACTTTCTTCGTGTTTTTTTTTTTTTTTTTTTTTTTTTTTTTTTATCTTACCCTCTTTAGCCATCACCTTACAGATTTCCATCCCCTTTCCGTTTCCTCGTCTCCTCGCATCCAGCCAAAAAGCCTAAGAAGCAACACCCACCTCCGTACAAGTTCGGCGCAAATCCATCAACGGCTCCCCTCGCTCCGCCGCATCTCAACAACCGCCGATTCCGCTTCGCGTCGATAGGCTTCAGCTTATCGCAATCGCTGTGGCAGCTTCCAGCGCACAAGGATTGGTCGCAGGACTCGAGCGTCGCGTCGCTGCGCGGTGTCGTGGACCAGGGCAACTGTGGTGAGCGCGCGCGCACATCCCGCAATGAAAAAAATCCGCGAGCGCTGATGCTCGTGCTGACGCGCGCCAACATTCTTCGCCGCTGAATGCCAATCTTGCGGGCACTTGGCCACGAAAAAAACGTTATTGTTCCACCCCCACGTTCCCCTTCTGCCGATCCGTGCACCCTTCCGCACTCCCCGCAGCATCTTCCTGGGCCGTCGCTTCCGCGCAGACCGTGGAGATGGCGTACGCGATACAGAACCCGTCGAGCAGCAGCATAGCGAACGTTTCGATTCAACAGATTGTGGACTGCGCGGGCGTGGCGACCTCGTGCTCCGCGGGCGGGTGGCCGTCGCTTGCGCTAGACTATATGGCGGGCGCGACGGACGACAACGGCGGGGTGGTGGCGGACGCGGATTACAAGTACACAGCCGCGCAGGGCACGTGCGACAATAGCAAGGTGAGCGAAAGCGGCGACGCGCGTCGCTTTCGGCGCGAGGCGAGTGGATGGCGGGCGAGGCGATGAGAGGCGTGGGAGTGGGACTCGAGGTTGCGCAGACGGTGCGCGGCCGTCCTCTCCCCTGTTGTTCTTCGCGACGCAGCTGGCGCGACTCGATTCCGTCTCTCACTCCCCCACCTCCGTCCCCCCGCGACCGCGCCGCGAGCAGGTGACGGGCGACGCGTCGAGTATCGGCGTGGTGGCGTTGGAGCAGGCGGACTTCCAGGGGTGGCTGGGGCTCGTGCTGGCGGTGCAGGCGCAACCCGTCGTCGCCTTCGTGCGCGCGTCCTACGACTCCTTCCTCCTCTACAAATCGGTACTGCGCGCCCCTATCATCCCGCACCGCGCTGCTGCCGCCGCCGTTATAGCCACTTCCCGCTCGTTTCGCTGCCCGAAATCGTCTCCCACCTGCCATCCTCGCGCCCGCTGCCCTCTCAATTCGCGCCGCGAATCGCTTCCCTCGCCAACTTCGCAGTTTCCGCCTCTGCCACGCTCCCTTCCTAATCCGCGCGTCTCCGGATCCCCTTCCCCCTCTTCCCCCCCACACGCGCGCGCGCGTGCGGTGCGCGGCAGGGCGTGTACGCGGACAAGGGGTGCGCGAGCGAGATCGTGGATCACAGCGTGCTGGTGGTGGGGTTCTCGCTTAAGCTGCCGCAGCCCTACCTCATCATCCGCAACTCCTGGGGCACGCACTGGGGCTTGCAGGTGCGCCCACCGCCGCGCGGATAGGAGAGGGAGGAAGGGGGTATCCCGATGGGGTAGTAGCAGGCGGTGCGAGGGGGCAGGCTGCGGCCGTGCCTGTATGCGTCACGCGCGCGGCTCCCTGTCCGCTCGTCTTTAACTCCGCCATCGTGCGCCACCTCTTGCTGCGTCGCCTCTTCCCCTGCCTCCGCGCTGCATTCTCTCTGTGCCGCCACTGTGCTTTACCGCTAGGTGTTTGCCTGCGCGCATCTCACAACTGCTGCTTCCCCTCATCCTCATCCAACCCCCCACCCCCCCCTTCCCCCCTCTCTCCCGCCTCCCCGTGTGAATCTGCGCTGGCAGGGCTACATGCGGCTGGCCATTGCAGGCGGCCCCGGGATCTGCGGCATCTTCACAGTGCCGCCCGTTTACCCCGTGCTCAAGTGTACGCGTCTCTGTCTCTCACATGCCTTGAAAGTCGACACCATCCATGCTGAATCGCGTTTTGAAAATCTAACAGCAAGTCGGAAACAGCCGCGTGTCGACTGTAGTGTGTGATTAAATAGAAGTACAGCAGCACTGCCCTACGCCCCTCTCCGCCGCCCTCTCACTGCATCCACCACCCCCTACATACTTCCCTGTCCGTCCCTTCTCCCGTCTCTCTTCTCATAGCCCCTCTCTCCATCCCCCTTCACCCCCCACCATCGCTCGCTCCCTCCCCCCCTCGCAGCATCCAACCCGTGCAGCGGAGACATCAATCCGTGTGGGTCGGGGACGTGCAATGCGGGCTTAAACGGGGCGTACACGTGCACGTGCCCCTCCACATTTGCGTCCGTGCCCGGTTTCAACAGCCTCCCCACATGCGTGCCTAGTAAGCAGCCCCTTGCCACCGCTGGCTCTCTGCCAGCCACACCTGCACACTGCACAACCCACATACATCGCGCGCCACGCACTCCTGTCTGCTTCCACTTGCCTGCCCTCCTCTCTCACCCACCTCACCACGGGCCTCCTTCGCTTGCTCACCTCCCTACTTGCTCTTCTCTGCCATTACTTGCTGCTTGCCTGACTTCCTCCGCCCGTGTCCGCTTGTCCAGCTGCTTCTGTAAATCACACCAACTCACCTCCGTGTATCATGTGCCGTTCTCCTCCCCGCCCTTTCCCTGCTGCATTGCCGGGCAGAGAAGCAGTGCACGCTGGGACCGTTCAACCCATGTGGCACGGGCACATGCATAGACGACAACGCAGGCAGCTACTTCTGCATCTGCCCGCCGCTCTTTGTCTCCGGCGCCAAGGCCAACGGCTACCCCACCTGCGTACCTGGTGCGTCCTCCCCTCTTCCACACCCCTCTCCTGCCACCCTTTTCTCGCTCCCTGCCCCATCAAAAGTCCATAATCCCAAACGCCTCTCTTGTACTCCACCGGTCTTAACCCCTCCAATCAACCCCCTCCACTCCCCCTCACTCCCCTCCCGTCACGTCCACACCCCACGTGTCCTGTACATGCATGTGCTGCAGACCCGAGCCCATCAGGTGCGGTCTACTTCACACCACCCAAGAGCGTGGCGTGCGAGCTGGTGTACGGCATCAACGGGCTCACCCGGGCGCAGTTCCTCACGCTCAACCCCTCCCTGCGCAACACCATCAATGTATGCCCCCTTTGCTCTGCCTGCCTGCCTGCCTGCCTGCCTGCCTGCCTGCCTGCCTGCCTGCCTGCCAACCTGTGCTCCTCCGCACCATACCCTCCTTCACCACCTCAACACGCTACGCTCCATCCATGCTCGCCCTGTCCAGCCGCCTGTCATGGCCTCCCGCTGCTCTGTGCGTGCGTCCTTCGCCCCCCGTGCGGCAGCCCGCGGTGTGCGACGACATTCCGGCCAACACACAGGTGGAGGTCACTCGCCCCTCTTCAGGCGCCATCAACTGCGCGCTCTTCTACTCCTGGGACACGGTGCGCTGTGGGCGGAGGAAGCCAGATGGGGAGAGGGAGCGCGAGAGGGAGAGGGACAGGAAGAGGGTGAAGGAGAGGGAGAGGGAGAGGAGTCGCAATCAAAGGATTGTGGCAGTAGCTGTTGGGACAGCCCAGCTTTAAGAGGGTGGGACCGGACACCCTTTGCCAATTGCGGGGTAGCGTGGGCGGGTCGGCGTGTGTTGCTCCCCAAGTGGAGTCCTAGATCCAGTCCACCATTAGAAACTAACTCCCACGCTCGTTCCTCCTTCCCTCCTCATCTTGCTCCTCCCTCTTGCTCCTCCCTCCGCGGTGTGGCGTGCAGCTGGACACATGTTTGGAGGTGGGAGCACTGTTTGGCATCACCCCTAGCGCATTGGACAACCTCAACCCGGGCGTAGACTGTGCTCTCAACCACCCGCAGCTCTCCCAGCAGGTCCACCTCCCACTCCCTACATGCTCGCATTCTCACTCCCTACATTCTCACTACAGTTAACCCTACTTCACCCCTCTTCACCCCATTGTACACATTAGAACCAACTGATTTCTCAATTTACCTCTTCTCTGCCTCCCACTCTCGCACCTGCCACCCGCCCCTAACCTGTCCCCTCCCCCCGCCGCGCTCCTCCCCCTCTAACACATCCTCCCTCCCGCTTCCTTACATCCGCCAGGTGTGTGTGCGGCAGGGCACAGGGTCAATAACCAAGTGGTGCACGCAGTGGCACACGCTGCGAGACAAGGACTCGTGCAAGCGCATCGTGCTCACGTACAAGAACAAGCTCACCCCGCGCCTGCTGTACGAGCTCAACCCCGGGCTGCGCTGCAGCCACCTCTTCCCGCTCACCTCGCTGCTCCCCGGCGCCAGCATGAAGGCCACGGGCCAGCAGGTGTGCGTGGCGGGCACGGCGCCTCAATCCTACTCCTCCGTGGGAGCATCGCTGCCCATGAGGAAAACCATGGAGGAGGAGGAGGAGGATGTACGTGTCGAGCACGTACCTTTGACACCCGCACGCTCGTCGCTTGTGGCCCGTCTGTACGGCAAGGCGTCTCGGCGACGGCACCTGGCAGCGGCGTGCAGGAAGGCGTACACGGTGGTGCAGGGGGACACGTGCGCGCGCATCATCTCCCTCTACTTCCAGAACAGCTCGCGCAAGCTGTCCGACCTCAATAACGGCTATGTGTGCACCAATGACCGCCTGTATGATGGGCTCAGGTTGTGCACGCAGAGATAACGGGTGAAGGGCAGGGCTAGGTTAGGAGGAGTGGAGCCATACTGCTGTTTGACTAGGTGTGTCTTGCAGGGTTGGTGTACATGGTGCAGCTGTAGGTGCTTAGGCCTGAAGAGTTCTGAGCTTCTTGTAATATATGTAGCATGTTGTGATTATACAGTACCACTACCAGTACTAGATTACTTATTGCCATGCATACTTCCCTGGCCATCCTTACGACATGGTATGGTCCCTTACATGGCACTTGACAAATAAGAACATACCGGTAACACATGGCATGCTGCACGGCAAGTGACTCATGCACCACAAATTGCACTGCACTGGACCATGTCACATGTTCCATCCACAGTTCTCCACGGCACTGCACCACGGCACAGGCTCAGCTGCGCACGGCATCGCCAGCGCAGCCCTGACTCCCCAAGCGACGCAGCACCTCCCAGTGCCGCCCACACGACGGATCCACATGCACCGCTGCCTGCACCAGCCCCAGAGGGCTCTTCCCCCCACATGCTCCTCCTCCACTCCCTTCCCTCGCCTTGTCTGCTCCCCCCTCACTCTTCTCCTTCGATTCGCCTCCCCTGCCTCCTCCACCCTCCCCTGCTGCCCCTCCTTTTCCTCCCGCTCCCCCACGCCCTCCTCCCTCTCCACCCCCACCACCCCTACCTGCTCCTCCCCTCCCTCCCCCCCCTCCTGCTCCCGCTCTGCCTTCCCCAATCCCAGCAGCAGATGTACCTTTCTCAGATGTACCTTTCTCAGGCGCACCTGCCCCTGCGTCCAGCCCTGCAAGTGCTTCTCCTACTGCAGCTAGCACGCGGGCTGGGCGGCAGTCAGCAGGCCATGCCGCCCACTCTTGCTGCAGGTGGGCGGCACGCTTGCGAGGGGCGGCAGAGCGAGAGGCAGCAAGGGAGTCAGCAGAGGAGAGCAAGAGGTGAAGGTGGGGGAAGAGAGAGGAGGGGGGTGAGGAGACGGAGAGGAGGGAGCGACGTGCGGCGAGAGGGAGAGAGGAGTCGGAGGAGTTGACTCGGTGGAGGGAGAGGAGGACCGATCCTGTTGAGAAGGGGGATATGGGGGTAGGAGAGGGAGTCGATTGTTCCAAAAGTGACGGAAGAAGGTGCAGAGGGGCAACGACAAGCAACAGGATAGGAAAGTGTCAATTGCAAGATGCTTATCAGAACCAGAGCATGCCAACTGCACCTAGAAGCATGTGTGCGACGTCGAGCATAGGCTGCACTGCTGCCCCTGCCATTCCACCCGCCCCTGCTGCCTCCTTGAGCGACCCCACCACCCCCTCCAACACACTCCTCGCCTTGCTCAACTCGCCCTTCTCTGCACCAATCACAGCCTGCCACATCTGCACCGCTGACATTAGCAGCAACCTGTTTTCGCCTTGCCCCTGCAGCCCTTGGGCTTGCAGTGCTGCCACCACTGCTTCAGCCTCTTGGGAGAAACCAGAGGAGAAGAGAGATGAGGCAGAGGCGAGCGATGGGAGCAGAGAAGCAGGGAAGCTGGGGGTGACTGGAGGCTGGGTACATGATTCTGTTGCAGACTGCTGCAGCGAATGGCACCGCGCCACCTGGCATTCAGCACTGGCACGCAGCGCTGCTTTCTGATTGGCTGATTGGGGTGAATCGGGGAGGAGGAGGCACTCTGACTGGGCGTGGGAGGCGAGGGAGAGCGAGAGGGAGGCGAGTGAGAGTGGGGGCTGTGAGCGGTCAAGGGTTGAGGTTGGAGAGGAACAGCAGCGTGCAGCACACTCAGATGCAGACAAGAGAGAGTGCACCCAGAGCTCGCGCACCAATGGCGGTGTGCCAGCTGGCGCCTTGGCGGAAGAAAGGTGGAGGAGCGAAAGAGAGGGAGATGGAGCAGAAGGAGGGGAAGGTGACGGTGGTGGGGAGGCGAAGGTGGTGTGAATGAGGGAGAGGAGGGAGTGGGAGAAGCGGAGGAGGGACGTGGAGAACGAAGAGGGAGGGGGCAAGGGAGCACCGAAGGGTGACACGTGGGAGGAAGGCGAGAGGGAGAGGCGGAGGAGAAGGAGGCGGAGTGTGGGATCGTTGGGGCGAGTGTGAATAGCCCTGCACACGAAGGGGGCGGGATGAGGGGAAGTGGAGGAGGGGGGAAGTGGGAAAGGGAGAGAGATGGGTCAACAATGGGGCCATGCAAATGTGGAACAACAAGTGATCCTAGACCAAATGCGGTCATGCTATGTGGCATGCGCCGCCACACAAGCAATGTGTCCTGCCTGTCTGCCTGCTACTATCCCGCCCATGCCGCTCCCACGAGTCCCCTCCCCTCCCCCAACGTGCCTGGCCAGCAGCCGCAGCTGATTCCGCCCTGATAGGTGGCTCTCCCTCGCACCACCACCCTCAACCCCACCGCAACCACTGAAACTGCCACCGCCGCTGCTGCTACTGCTGCTTCCAGGCACAGCAGCAGGCGTGGCCAGCGGAGCCTGGGAGTGTAAGCAGGCCCCTGCACCATGCGCCGTGCCTTGCGCACACGCACTGCACGCCAGCCGCGTGCTGGCCTGCACGCGCACCACACTCTCCTCCACTGTCCCCCCTGCACTGCCTCCGGTGGCGCGGTCAGGAGGAGCAGAGGTGGTGAGGAACGAGGGAGGCGGAGGAGAGGGGTGCGAGGAGAGGGCTTGGGGCGCCAGGCCTATGATGCGCGCTGCTCGAGCCGGGTGCGTGGGAGATAGCAGGTCCGCCAGACAGGCCCTGGTGGGTGGTGGGGGAATAAGGGTAGGGGGGGAGGAGAGGGAGGGGAGAGTGTGCGGTTGCAGGAGGGTTGGAATGTTGAAGTGCGCTGTATATTGTGGAAGCGGGGGGAGAGAGGGGAAGGAGGGGGAGCCGAGAAAGACGAGGCAAGGAGAGCGGTGGGTGGAAGAAAGAATAGTGAACGGGAAACGGGGCAGGGGAAGAGGAAAACGGAGCTAGGTTGATGGAAGGGGCTGTGCGTGTGAAGCAGGCAGCAGAGAGGGTGGAGGGGCGTAACGTACCTGAGCAGGAGGCTATCGGGGAAGTGATGCAGTGAGCGGATGAGATACTTGAGGGCACGCGGCAGTTGACCCTGCAACGCCCACACAGCGGGAGAGAGATGGTGAAGGCAAGAGCATGCCATGAGTGCACGGAAAGCAAAGAGAATGCTCCCAGGAGCGTAGCAGGGAAGCTCTGGCAGAATTGGCAGCACTGGCAGCACCTTGGCAGTGAGCGAGAGGGGGAGAGATGGTGAGGAAGAGAGCATGCCCTGAGTGCAAGGATTGCACATGCTCCCAGCAGCACAGCAGGGAAGCACTGGCGCCAAGGTGGTAGCACTGGCAGCACCTTGGCAGCGAGAGCGACCCCGAGCAAGGCATGTGCTCTGGGGGCCATTAGAGGGTCGCTGAAGACGGGCCGGTACTGCTGCACCGCACGGCCTATCTCCCCCTCGTCCAGTGATGCTGCTGCTGCTGCCAGCGCCGTCAGCGACACATCAACGCGAGTCAGCGCCAGGTCACGCGCAAGAGAGGGCGAGAGGAAGAGAGGGGGGGCGAGTGATGCAGGCGGTGTTGGGGAGGATGGGAGAGCAGGGGGAGAGGCAAGGAGAGCAGCATGGAGCTTCACTGCTGCTGCTGACAGGAGCGAGTGAGAGGAGGGCGAGGAGGAGGAGGAGGAGGAGGAGGATGGAGATGGGGATGGGGTCCGTGCAAGGTGTGTGGCTTGGGTGGTGGCGAGGGCGACAACAGCGAGGGCATCGTCATGGAGTGAGCAGTGGTGCAGGGCGAGGGAGAGCGCGAGCAGTGGGCGCAGTGGCCACTTGGAACGGTCTGGAGGGGTGGTTGACGGGGACAGAAGGAGCCAAGGAAAGGGCGTTCAACAGACCAGGGAGGGTTGGGAAGGTAAGGAGAGGCAGGAAAAGGACGGAGAAGAGGCAGGCGATATGGGGGAGACGATGGTAGATTGAAGAATGGTGAAGAGAAGTGTGGGTTGGAGGCGACTTGGAGGAAGGCTAGGGTGGCACCTCGAAGAGAGTGTGCAGAGTTAAACTCCACCACTGCCTCACTGAACCGCCGTGCCTGTCATACCATGGCATGACAACCCACGACACATGCATGAGGGGTTATGGGGAGCTGGTTGTATGATGAACAGCATGCCTGTCACAGCAGCAGGATACATTGATGAAACCCTTTCAACCAATCAACCACCATAGGCATGCGCACGTGGGAGCATGCACCCATGCTTTTCCCAGCGGCAGTGCACATACACAGAGCAGGCACTAGACGACACGAGGCACACTCTAGCCTTGAGGATCAAGGTGACTGGAGCAGGAGCAGCAGTCGCCTCCGCTGCAGGCAGGCAGAGCGCAGCACACACATACCGCGGTGAGGGCCATGGCCACTTGCACACACGCCTGCCACACTCGCTCCGCGGGTGCTTCCTGGTGCAGCAGTAGGTCCTTGGCGGAGTGGAAGGCGTGCAGGGCGACCAAGGGTAGGCAGCGCGCAGAGGCGGAGAGGCCCAGCAGGAAGAGAGCCTCGGAAGATGCCGGGGTGCTGGCAGCCAGGTGGGACAGCGCGCAGAACACCTGGTGGGACAGGTGGAGAGCGGTGGAGAGTGGTGGTGGCGTGTGGGTGTGGGTTTAGTAGGGAGATTGCATAAGTGTGGTGTGAAGTCATGGTGGCATGTCTCATGGCTGGCTGTACGGCACAGGTTGACTTAACTCTCATGGACACCATGCTCAGCCACACACAAGCCATCCCACCTCCCCAACACCAGTTCATCCAACACATCCCAGATTATCCCATCCCATCCCATCCCATCCCATCCCATCCCATCCCGTCCCATCCCATCCCATCCCATCCCATCCCATCCCATCCCATCCCATCCCATCCCATCCCATCCCATTCCATCCCATCCCATCCCATCCCATCCACCGCAAAGCACCTCTGCCTGGCCCAGCCTGCCGCAGCGAGCTGACAGCTGTCCGAGCACATGTTGGGCGCATGGCGGCTGCACACAGAGAGAGGGGAGAGACAGAGAGGGGGGAGCGAGAAAGGGAGGGAAGTACCACGGCATACGGAAAGGGAGAAAGGCGGGAGAGGGATACTTGAAATTAACATACAGATGGGGTTATTTTTACAAATCTTAAAAAGGCTACAAATCCTGCAACAAAAGCACTAACTGCCATCCCTGCGTGCAGCCTCCCTCTCAACTCAGCATCCCCAGCTTCCAGTCGTGACCTCTTCTCTTCCCCACCCGTGCGTGCACTGACCGGGTTGGAGCAAGCAGTGGCAGCAAAGAGCGCATCAGCCATGGCCGCATGCAGCGATGGCCTGGCCATGTGCGCAGGGCGGATGGCAGCCGCACATGGGGTGGACAATGGGGGCAGGAGGTGGATGCATGATGAGAGGCACGCTCAAGGGAGGAACAAAGGGTTGGTTGAGGGGAAGGAAACGGGCGAGATTGCGGAGCAGAGGGGCTAGAAGGAGTGATGGTGGAGAGAGGAGAGGCACGGCACGGACCTACAAGGGCAGAAAAACAGGAAGCGAGGGTGCACTTTACCTGCTTTCACCATCATCATCAGCAGCAGCAGAATCAGCAGCAGCATCACCATCGTTGTTAGTGCTGCTGTGACCTGCAGCAGTGGCAGCATCAGGCGCACTGGTGTGTGGTGCACTAGCTGCCGGTGCAGCAGCGAGAGCATCCAGCTGGCGGGCAGCAGAGGCCACCCAGGGGGCGGCAATAAACGGGTCTGCCACACGCGCACGGGCGAACGCCCGTGTGGCAAGCTTTGGCTGCTTCTGGTGAAGGTACACCTGAAGGGAAACCCAGAGGAGCGATGGGAGAGTGTATGAAAGGCAGAGAAAGTGTGAGGTACATGGGCACGTGTGTGACAGACAAGTATACAGCTCGCGTTGCTGTAATGCATGCGAATACAACGTGTGAAGCTTGTAAACACACGGCGAGTAGTCTTAACAAAGACTCTGGGGACAGGACAGGCATGCACGCAGGAAGACAGACGCCAGCAGCAGCGTGAGCAGCAACAGCACGCACCTCCCCCAGCAGCACCCAGGCGAGGGCATGCAGCGGGTCAAGCGTGAGTGCGTGCACGAGAGCATGCTGCTGCACCTCGGGCCACTGCCACCCCACCACTGCTGCCAGCACCACCCATGCATGCGCCCCCGCCGTGCCCTGCTGCCCCTGCAGCGCTGGCAGCAGCAGGCGAGGGGGCAGCGCACTGACGTGGGGGGGTCAAGAGTGGGGGAAAGGGGAGGCGGGGGAGTGAAGGGAGGTTGGATGGGGGGCGAGCGACAGGGATGATGGTGGAGGGTGGTGCGAGGGGACAGAGATGTGGAGTGAAACGCTGGGAGGGAGGAAATGGCAGGGGTAGCATGGGTAGCATGGGTAGCATATGTGACACTAGCATTATCGAAGCTAGCATGTGATGCCGCACTTGTGTGGCTTGATAAAGGCACGTGAGCGCGTGCTTGAATAATTCCACTCAAGATTGACAGTAAAACGCTGACGCTCACACCAACACAACACATCCCATCCCATCCCACACAGCACCGTGGCATTGCAATACCGTAGCTCATCCAAAGATGCAGCGTCTAGCACCTCTGCCTTGGCCTGCCCATCACCACCCGCATTCCCACACTCCACCTCCTCCTCCTCTCCCCCGCCCCCCGCTTCCACCAGCTCCGCCCACGCCCTCCCCTTGGCCGCCGCTGCCAGTGCCAAATCCGCCCACAGCCTCCCCCCTCCCTGCCCCCCTGCGCCCTTCACTTCCCCCCCGCCCATTCCCCCTGGTTCAGGTACGCCCAAGCTGAGGAAAGAAGAGAGGTGGGGGGAGTCAAGGGGAGGGGGCGCGGAGGGCGAGGGGGAGAGGTGCAGCGCGTGGGCATAGGAGCGCAGGGCGGAGGACGCCAGGCGGAAGCGGTGGCGGCGCCATGTGAGGAGGGAGGAGGGGGCGGGGGATGCAGGCGCGGTGGTGGAGGGGGCGTTGGCAGGGGAAGGTGTGGCAAGAAGCACGGCTGAGTGTCGTAGCTGATTGGGATGTGAGGGGGCGGAGAACAGGGTGGAGGGGAAGTGAGGGGCAGAGGACAGTACTTGCTCAGGTGAGGCGAACAATCAAGCAGACATGACACTCGCATAAACCACTGTGTATGTGCTTCGTAGCGCATCAATTACTTATACCTCCTCCAGACATGCCCCCCACCCCCAGCAGGTCAAGTCCAGTCCCTGGGAGTGGTGCTGCCATGCTGCTCATGGCATCAGAGACACACCTCGATGTCACCAAGAAGCTTCCAGGTTGTTGCGGATGTGGGGTGGTGGGATATGGAGGCACGGGCGCAGGCAGCTGCGGCCTGGGAGGGAGCAGGGATGGCATGGCATGCATGGGGATGCATGCAGTGTGGGCAAGCCGAGGGGCACGGGGGGATGGTTTCGATGGCATGGGCATGGGCATGGGCATGGGCACAGAGCATGGGCACAGAGCATGGGCATAAGTATGGGAATATTGTTGAACTCAATGGGCCCTATGGTGGCAGGCCAAGCACAGCAGGCTGTAGGGTTGGCAAGACATGCGCCTATGCTGACATGACACACGTGGGAGGCACGTGGGAGGCACGTGCAGCATGTGAAGAGAGGCTGCACATGTAGATGGCAAGGAGACATGCAGGCAGGCAGGCACGCAGCATGGGTGCAAAGCAGGAGAGGGGGAGTCACCAGCAGCAGGTGGTTAGCCCATGCAGCGGCACCAAAGGAGGCCACGTGGCACGCAAGGCCGTAGCGCGCTGCTGCCAGCCCCCACTGCACCGTGGCACTGCCTGCCCGCTGCGCCTCCGCGTACGAGAACAGCTCCAATGCCTGATGGGGCGTGGCATGGGGTGGCAGGGGAGACCAGTGGCATGTGGGGGAGGGGGAGAGGGGGGAGGGGGGGGAGGGGTGCGGAGATGGGTGGTGGTGAAGGGTGGGCATGCAGGGGATGATTTTGTAGCGACGACATGGGTGAGCGGTGGGCGAGCGGTGGGCGAGCGGTGGGCGAGCGGTGGAGGAGATACCTGGGAGTAGTTGCTGCGCTCCAATTCAATGTGCCCGCTCTGCTCCAGCGCAAACACTGCACATGCCACGTCGCTGCTCCTCGCTCCGCCAGATGACTCGGCAGCGGGAGGCGCAGTGGCGAGTGCAACAGAGGCCGGGACGAGGGCCTCTAGAGCGCTCGCCACGTGGGGCAGTCCCAAGGTTATCACCCGCCCATAGGCCTGCATGGATGAATGCGGTGGAGAGGGGTGTGGAGCGGTGGAGAGCATTTGGAATGACACAGAATGTGGAACGGTGAGTGTTGGTGGGGGTTGAGACAAGAAGGGTGAGGAATGAGAGACACAAGACATGTGGCACACACAGAGGGTGGATAGACTCGTGCAGGGAGGTCAGATGGACAAGTGGCAGGGAGGGCACCTTGAGACCAGCGGAGTGCCGACCGAGTCGCTGGTAGCACAGGGCAAGGGCCTGAGGGAGCGAGGGGGGAGGGGGCGCGCGTGTGCAGGAGAAGGAACCGCAGGAGAGAGCGGAGTGGCAAGAGGAGCGTGAGGCAGTGGGTGGTGGAGTGCAGAGAGGCAACGGACAGTGAGCTCAGTGCATGGTGCCAGCAACACAGCACTGCTGCTGCGCTGCCGCATGCATGCGTGGGTGTAGATACAAGGCGCGGAGTCTGCATGTGGATATGCATGTGCATGTGCATGTGCATGTGCATGTGCATGTGCGTGTGCATGTGCATGTGCGTGTGCATGTGCATGTGCATGTGCGTGTGCGTGTGCATGTGCATGTGCATGTGCATGTGCATGTGCGTGTGCGTGTGCATGTGCATGTGCATGTGCGTGTGCGTGTGCATGTGCGTGTGCGTGTGCGTGTGCATGTGCGTGTGCGTGTGCGTGTGCATGTGCATGTGCATGTGCATGTGCATGTGCATGTGCATGTGCGTGTGCATGTGCATGTGCATGTGCATGTGCATGTGCATGTGCATGTGCGTGTGCGCATACCCGCCAGCAGGCAGCATCTCGCACGAAGCCCTTGATGGCGGACTGCAGGCATGGCACGGCAGACTGCCACGCAGCCTCCTCCGCGTGCAACAGCCCCAGCAGCCGCCACGCCCAGAACGCCCGCGCGCTGCCCTCCACTGCCCCCCGGCACAGCGCCACCTGCAGCGACCGCTGCCTCACCGCCCCCCGCCCCCCTGCCAGCAGGTGAAAGGCCGCCTCCTGGGGAGAGAGAGAGGGGAGGGAGGGAGAGGGGGAGAAAGAGTGGCACACAGGGGGAGAGGAAGAAGATGGATGTGAGACGGAGGCAATTCGGAGTAGAAAGAAGGTCAGGAGAGGGTTTAAGTGTGTGTGCATGCGTGCGTGTGATGCGAGTGTGGCTAGGTGTGTGCAGTGAGGCAGCACATCTCACCCCAGCATCTTGGTCCTCGGGATTCACGCTCACGGCCTTCTGGAAACACTTCACCGCTCGCCCCACATCCCGCACCAACTCCCCCCCAACTCCCCCTTTCCGCGCCCTATTCCGCTCCCCCGCCACCCACCACGCCTCCGCGTGTCGCCCGTCCCCCTGTTGCGCTCCGCGCGTGCCTGTGCGCGGGATGATCCCCTGGAATCCCGCAAAGAAATACCCCAGGCAGCGGAAGGCGCCCGCGCTGCCAGGGCTCAGCTTGCCCGCCTGAAGCCACTCCGCGTACGCTGCCGCGCGCCCTGTCGCTCGCGCTTCGTTCCCCCGCGGCTCTCCGCTTCCGCCTGCCGGCGTGGCGGTTACAGCTGCTCCTTCCTCCGCGGAATTCCACAAGGCCTCGCCCTGATCGCGGGGAACGCGGAGACGATGCGGAGGAGAATAAGGGTTCAGCGGATGGGTGCAACGCGGTCATCACATTCAAGTTTAGAACGAGCGCACAAGGCGACGCGAGGAGATAGGATGAACAACAGGGATGTTACGAGCCGTTACCAGCAGAAGATGGTACTCGCTCTCGTCGGGACGACCGGATACGGCCGCGCGAAGAAGATCCGCGGCTTCGGACCACCCGTGGCGAGCCAGCGCCAGGCGCGCGAGTCCTGCGAGAGCCGCATCGTCCGCAGGGTTGGCGTGCAGGGCGGCACGAAGCGACGCCTCGTCTGGCGCCGCGTCCTCCATTCACACGGTGGTCCCGAGAACCACGCTGGCAGACAAGCCAAGAAGGTTCTATACGGCGTTGCTCAAGCCCTTGTACACCAAGGCTTGTACACCAAGGCCCAGGCCCGCATGTGACGCGAGTACACTACGCGGAATTTAGTCTCCAACTAGCTAGGTATGACAAACACACCAGCCCCTGGATAATTTCCGGAATGGGGCGACCTTGCTTGACCAGTTCGAGTTTGGCGGAATTGAACACTTGAATGGAACGATCCACACAAGTTTGGTTTTGGCGGACTAGAACACTTATGTGCAAACAAACAACAACTTGGAATTCGGCGGACCTGAACCGAACACTGATGCAAAATGAACAAGAGAACCGCGCTGATTGAGGTGAAAGCAACAGCGCACCGCGACTACAGTGGGTGTTTGTTCGGAGTGTGGGGGAGGGGCGGAGGGGAAGAACTGGGGGAAGATTTGTGGTGTGGGAGGAGGATGGGGGGGAGGCGGTGGTGTCACCGTTCCAGTCAACGGCGCAACAAAGTCACGACCCGAACCGTTCGCCACACCACTCAACTCAAAGCTGCAGGGGTGGGGACTTGGAGGGGAAACGACAGCACAAAATGCGCCTTGGTGCAGTCCAACTCTAAAGCACACGGTTCACCCCTCACGAAAACACGCACAGAACTGAATTCTGTAACGACACGAATTTCGAGCTGCATAATTCGGACCATAACATGGTAACCATCACTCGCATTGTCTTCGTTTGTCATCGACGAAGCCTGCACCGCATTGTAACGCTACTCTTACGACCCCGTCGTGCGTGGGTGGTAACGCGTTTGCGTGTGGGCGTCCCGCTTGGTTTGGAACGCGTGCCCTGAAGAGGGTGAGTCGCGCGCGCACTACCGGAACAACTGTTGACAGATCGCACGCGGGGGAAGCGCTGACCCAACGTCTACGACCAAACTAGCTTCCTCACAGCACCGCCCTGTGATCTTCCTCTAATCTGCCAGCCATTTCGTCACACTACGCACGTTCGTGAAAAACGCATCACGTCTCTTATGTTATCTTCGTCGTCGTATGTCTAATCATTCACGTGTTAGACTTGTCGGCCCGCCGCTTTCCCCGTCGGAACATGCCACCGCTTGCTGACGGACTAGCGTCTACTTACCCCGATAGTTTGAGGAATCCATTCCACCAGAGCGAGCGCACCTATGGCGATGCGGCACGGCGCATGAGCGAGTCGCCGCAGAAAGCGCGCCCGAGCAACGAAGGAGTCGGCGAAGCTTGTATGGCGGAGGAAGGGCAGGCTCGATGGGCGCGGATGATGGTGCGCTGCCCCATATGGGCGCACACAACCCCCCGATGGGGAGCGTAGGGAACACCGTAACAGGGCAGGAACCACGCCATATTAATAGTAGCCTCTCTGGTGTCGCCCGAAGCGGCGTTGACTCGCGTTCAGCAACTTCCACACCCGCTTCTCGTGCTGCCTCGTCACGGATCGCGGCGCCAGCAGGCGGCAATGGTAATTGCGTGCCCTTGGCTGCGTCGGCCACGCTCTCTCCACCTGGCCACCCTCCGTCAGCGGGCTCGTCCTCTGTCCCTCTTATGCCTGCTCCTGCGGCGTCAGCCGCTGAAGTTGCTTGCACTGGGCAGGCGCAAAGCGCAGTAGCAGATGGCGCCGATTCCGCCCAGACGAGCGCAGGTGAAGCGGCAAGGGGGAAGGCGACGGCCCTTTCACTTGCCGCCGCAGGTGGGCTTGCTGTGGAGTCGCCGCGTGCGGACAATGTCGGCGCACGGCTCGTCTCCCCCACCGCCCGACACCCAGCAGTGCTGCATCAGTCTTCACCACCCCAACACGCGGGCCTACCACCACCACCAGCTTCGCCGTCGCTGTTGTCGCCGTCGCTGCCTGGCGACAGACTGGGCGACAGGAACCAATTGGATCAAGCGGCTATTCCTCTGCTCGACGTGGCGGCTGCGCAGAACAGGAAGGCCCGGGAAATTGCCGCCGCGGTCACGCCAGGCGCTTCGGTCTCCGCAGCGGCCCGCGCCCGTGGCGGGTTGTGGAGTCCGCTGGGCAGCCCCGCGGGCATCAGCCCGCACGCGCGCCTGTCCAGCAGCATCGCGTCGGCAGCGGGCTACATGCCGAGTCCTGATTGGTCCGCGGGGTATCTCACTCCCATGATGCCTAGCCCCGACCCCCGCGCTGCCTTCCACCATCGTCCCCCTCAGGGCGCGCAGCCCTGCGCGATCGGCGCGTGGACAGCGGGTGGTGCGCATCCGTCGAGCGCGGGGAGCGCAGTGAGCAGCAGGGGCGGGAGTCAGTGGGAGGACGCAGTGGCGCGCAAGAGATCCGTGTCGTCGGGGGCAATGGTGTGGGCGGAGGAGCTGGAGGCGGCGGTGAGCAGCGCAAGTGGCGGGGAGGGGCAGCGGATTGCGGACGCCGTTGCTGCGCTGAGGGGAGCAATGGAGGCGGAGGCGGCGCGCAGGCAGGGGACGTTGAGTGGTAAAGCGGATGAGACGGGGGGGCACAGGGACGGGTACGAGGAGCAGAGCGAGGTGAAGAGGGGAGGGGATGATGGCGGGGGGGAAGGAGAGGGGAGAGAGTTGAGCGGAGGTGTTGCAGCAGCGGAGGCGAGCAGCACATGCTACGGGGAGAGTGGGGGACTGGGGCCTGGGCGGGATCATGGCATGGAGGGCGGCGAGAGGAATGTGAGGTGTGTAGTGGGCGCACTGGGCAATGGGCGCAGAGAGGAATCACAGAGCGGTGAGGTGCAGAGGTGGGATGGAGGGCAAGAAGGGGCAACGGACAGGCCCGATGATCTGGTGCGGGAAGCGGGTGCGCTGGGAGCAGAGGGAAGTGGGGCAAGTGCGGAGCAGAGTGGGGGGGTGCAGGAGCATCTGGGCGTGGTGAGGGAGTTGTCACGGGAGTCATCCAGTGCGCGCACCATGCTGGCAGACGCAGGCGTGGCGGAGCTGCTGCTGCACCTGCTGGATGACCGCGTGTACCCGGCACACGTGGTCACCACGGCGTGCCTCATCACCCTCAACCTGGCTCTAGAGCCCTCCCTGAAGCGCAGGCTGGGAGGAGAGGGAGCGGTGGCGCAGCTGCTGCAGCTGCTGCAGTCGCGTGAGGAGGGGGTGAGTGACGCAGCGGTGGCGGCAGTGAGCAGCCTGCTGGCGGAGGAGGGCAACCGCAGGGTGGCAGCAGGCATGGGCGCCACGGGACTGCTGGCGGAGGTCATAAGGGAGGAGAGGAAGGCACCGCGTGCGCGCAAGGATGCGCTGATCGGGCTGTTCAACCTCAGCATTGACCCGCATACACGCGAGGCTGTGCTGCTCCGCCACGACCTTGTCCCGTGCGTGCTCGCGCTCCTGTCGGACCCTGACTGCAGCCCTGCACACATGCCGGCGGCTGCACTGCTGTCCGTGATGGTGCGCATGCCTGCAGTGTGTCGTGTGGTGGAGGGCAACGATGGAGTGTCGGTGCTGGTGCAAGCACTGGAGGATGGCGAAGCAGCCATGCAGGGCCACGTGGTGGCAGTGCTGTTGCAACTTGCACTCACCATCACCGCCACACGGCAGAGAATCTTCCAGGAAGGCATCATCCCCTCCCTTGTTGTGCTTGCTGAGGGGTCGACAGGGCGCACTCGAGACAAAGTGAGTGCAATCTGGGGCGTTTACTTTACTCTGCTGATTTTTGTTTCACACACATTTGCAAACCTAGTGTCTGTAGGTGCATGCTCCTTCCAAATTTCTTCCTGCCCTCTCTATTAACCACCCTGAGCAGGCAATGAAGCTGCTGGCCCTTCTGCGCGCATGCGAGCAACAGTCACGGCAATAGCTAATGCTTGGGCACACTCATTTTTGTGGCAACACATGTCTGAGCTGCTAACTTGTGCATCCGCAACAACTAAGGCATGGGCCTAGAGTTGACCTGATGCCACACGCAGAATGACATCAGTAGACACCACCTTCGGTGCAGGTAGGGTATTAACTAAGAGCCTTAGAGTCCCGGTGGGCTAGGATGCACTCTGTGCCACATGAATGTATGTGTGTGTGTGCAAGGTGAAGAGGTTAGAAAGTGCAACTAGAGCTGGTATGCTTGTGAAGTCAATAGCTGTACAGAATAATCAAAATTGCATTTTCAGCCAGGCTTGAAGCCATGTTCGAGTGTTTGTTGTGGTGCTACAAACGAAAGGGTAGAAAACGTTTACATACGGGTTCATCCTTATACATTTTCCATTCTGCAAGTAGAATATCTGAACTGGCAAATCATATCATGTTCTTGCCTCGTTGTACCATTCTGGGTCCATGTTGGATCTCCACGTGGCGGAGATTCGAGCTCCACTTTTGATGCCACGTATACTCAATTCAGCCACGTCGTTTCCGTTGCCGCCAGTGGAGCGTGGTTACATACAACCTCCGAGAGCAGGGGAGAGGCAGACTGGCAAGTGGTAACCCTGGGATTCACACCAATAGTCCATTCTGCCCCAAGAATGTGGCCCAAACCACCAACCAGCATCCACACGCGCCACGGATGATTGCCAGCTCAGCCTTGCGACATCCAGATTCATTTCGCCTTCTCCCCCCTGCCAAGACCCCAGTTCGTCGCGCGATGGTGACGGTGAGGGGGAGAATTCGAGGTGAAGCCAATCTTTTGCATACAGGCACAACTCATTTACGATTGACTATTACTATCCCGTGGGTCTGCTATCTACACGGTTCCTTGGTTCTTTGCTCTGTCAACCGAAAAACACAAGCCACACGCCATGGCAACTGTGACCAGTTCGGTCGTTCTCAACAGCGCGCCATGCGTCAGAGTGCCTTCTGTCGCTGCGCAACCTTCTCTTAAGTCGGCATGTTCTTTCTTGCCATCCAGAACTAGCCTAGTGTCCTTTTCAGCACAAGCACAGAAATGCCAGTCTGTGTCAACGCGAGCCACAAGGTTTCAAGTTCGGGCAGCGGTTGCGGAGATCACGGAGAACGAATTCACGGAAAAGGTGCTTGAGGCAAAGTCACCAGTGCTGGTGGATTTCTGCGCTAAGTGGTGCGGCCCGTGCCGACTGATCGCGCCTGTCATGGAATGGGCTGCCAAGGTACGTTTTCTCTCTTCCCTCGTCAGCGGGATTGAATGCGTGGTCCAGGCACGCACGCCGTCACGCCGTGCGATCATATCATCCAGTACGGATGCATACCCGTCTCGTTTACCAAGTCATTAAGAGCGTAGTGTACTGGAGTTAAACGAATGAGCATTGCATACGTCAAGTCTCCTTCGCTCGGCACTGCCGTGTCGCCCATCCACCCAGGGAAAGGTCGCTCGCGATTCCACCGCACGTTATGTTGATCATAAGTTATCTGTCTGCACACATGTGCTACCTCCCTCTCGCTCGTCTGCTTGCGTTATTTTTTTCCATGCCGTCATTCTCACAACCCCTCCCAGCACCACGCCTGTCGATATCTGTTCCATTAGCTTCGTCGCCTGTAATCTCTGCGCCACCCCCCCACCTCGCCGTCACCCTCGCTCCCGTTCCCCTTGCCCTCGCTCTGCGCCCCTTTTGCAGGAGTACGACGGTCGGCTGCAGGTGTACAAGATCGACGTGGACGCGTGTCCGAAGCTGGTGGAGAAGTACAAGGTGTACGGGCTGCCGTCCGTCGTCATCTTCGAGAACGGCCAGGTGGTTCCCGGCGGACACATTGAGGGCGCGCTCACGTCCGCCAAGCTCAAGGGCATCCTCGCATCCACGGTGCCCGCGCTCGCATGACGCGCGCCGCGCGAGGCCTAGGACGCGCAAGGTGGTTGCTGGGCTGCAACTCGCCCTCCATCAACATATATTGATTCAACTTGATTTTGTGTTTTTTTTTTTCCGTGTTTATTTTCATATTCTGTATTTTTTTTCCTCAACTCCGTTGTATTCATCCAGTATACACTGTTGATGTGCACGCATGAAATAAACTGGCATGAGCCAATTCCAATCAGCAGTCCCCAAGGCTGGTAGAAGAAAGGCATGTGGTTCAATGAGTCACAGAAACAATGCTACAGTATGTTCTAATGAGAAATATCTTGTACAGATCTACGGTACCGTGTTGCGGTGTCCCTTGCCTCAGTATGCCAGGAAGAAGAAATTTGAGGCTTTTTTACCTAAACAAAGTGGCACTGGTACCCAACTCTAGAGTTGACTAGTTACACTAGGACTTGAATAGCTTAACATTGATGTTACCCCCTAAACGCCAGGCCAAACTCTTGCTTGAAGCTTCCACCACTACCACTATGGCATTTCGAGCCATGTACGGTACCGTAGTTTACCACTTGCAGCTGTGGTTACAGTTGCCTGAACTCCTAACTCCCCTTCCCACCTGCCAGCATCTTTTTGACAGTCTCTATCTCCGCCAGCAAGGACTCAACATCCCCTCGCATCCCTCCCAACCCCTCCCCACCCCTGTCTGCCGCATCCAGCTGCGCCTTGAGCTGGGCGGCGAGGGAGTGCATGCGGGAGGTGGCCTGCAGCACTTGCTGCTCTCGCGCTGCCACGTGTGCGGCGGCATCCGCTGCCAGGTTGTCCGTGGCTGCCTCCTGCACCGCCTGTGCCAGCGATGCCAGCGACTCGTCCCCACTCACCAGCCGCTTGCCTGGAACACAATGCAACAGAGGGAGGGGAGGGACGAGCCGCACCAGGGAAATGATTCTCTGAGCGCATGGAAACGAGGGATGCGAAGATGAGTGGTAAGGTAGGAAAACGAAGAAGGCCAGTGCAAAAGGAAGAGCGGAGAGAACAGTTGTTACAGAAGGACTGGGAGTTGTAAGGGCAAGGCAGAAGGCGGACCAAAGTGCACGAGCTGGTCGATGGTGGCCTGCGTAACGATGCTGCTGCCACGCTCCCTGAGCAGCATGAGCCCACCCACGGCAATGCGGCTGGCAGCACTGAGCTCCATCTTGCACACGTCCAGCAGGTGCTGCAGGTCCTCCTTGGTCGCCTCCACCGTCACCTGCCTCACCACGCACACACACAGAAAGGGGAGAGGCATGCTTGGTTACGTTGCGCCACACACAAGCCCGTTCATTCATGCTGTGGTGTGCTCATGCGGAGAGGGTAGGAGGGAGTACAAGGCATGGCGTGTGGCATGCGTGCAGCAAGGAGTGAAGAGGCACTCACCGGCTCTTGCACCGCCATCTGCACGCTCCTCACCACCCACGCCTCCCCCGCCTCACTGCCCGCACCCCCTGCCCCGCTGCTGCCAGTACCCGGTGCGCTGGCAGATGCAGTGTCGGGACCAGTGGGCATGGACGCGAGGCGCAGCTCCAGGTCCAGCCCACTGCGCGCCGATGACCCCACAGGGCCCCCTGCTGCTGCTGCTGCTGCACCTGCTGCACCTGGTGCTGCAGGTGGCGCAAGGGAAGTGTGGTGAGGCAGGGGTGCGTCTGAGGCGGAGCGAGAGATGGGACGGGAGGAGGGCGAGTTGGGGGCGGGGTGTGTGGAGAGCTCGAGGGAGGAGTCGGAGGCGGACACGGAGACAGCAGAGGGGCGCACAGACGGCGAGCACGGTGATGCTTCCGACGCGTCAAATATGCGCGGCTTGAATGCCTGAATGCCTTCCACTCGGATCTGCCACGGGTGCATGGGAGCACAGGGGAATGTGCAGGGCGTGTTAAGGGGAGCCTTGCAATGGTATATGCAAGGAGGCGTGCTGTACTAGTGCACTGCTGGATGCTGTAAAAAACGCAGAGCAAGCAGGGAGGAGGCGAGCAGCAGGGTGGTTTGTGAGAGTTGTGAGGAAGCAGAAGGTAGCAGCAGAGGGTACCAGGATGTTGGCCACGGGGCTGCTGCCCGGAGCAGGCGGGGGGCGGTGCGTGGTGCCGGTGCGGCGGTGCGCATCGTTCAAGGGGTTGCTGTGCGCGGACACGCGGAACATGCGGAACGTGGAGTGCCATGAGAGGTCCTCGCGGCGCTGCACGGCGTGTGCTGCACTGGAGGGCAGAGCCACGAAGGCCTTGTGCGCGCCCTCGAGGGCAAAGAGCCAGTCCAGCAGCTGCACGTCCACGTCCATCTCCTGCGGTAGCGCCACCTCCCATGCCGCCGCCGCTGCTGCTGGGTCCGCTGGAGTTGCTGCTGCCATCACGAGAGGGAATTTGAAGGTAGGTGCAGAGAGGGAGGGGAGGAGAGGGTGTGCGGGAAAGAAAATGTGTGTGGTTTGGTGGGGAGATTGGGGCTTTATGGGGTGGGATTTGGAGTGGGAGGCGTGATGAGGCCACAAGCATGGCGTGGCGGGTGAGCGAGTTCGCATGGAGTAGCATAACCGCATGAAGGGGCGGCAACACGAGAAAACGGAAGAGCAAGGGAAAAATAGGATTACAATTGCAGGCACTGTCGAAAAGCAGGTGCGCAAGGTAGCAGCGGCAGCACGCACCAAGGGGCGTGGACACAGCTGGGTCGTCAGCGCTGGAGGCGAGGAGGAAGCGCAGCGCCTCGCTGTGCTCCAACACGTCCAGCAGGTGCACCACGTGCGCCCCTGGGCCCCCCGTGGTGCCGTCCAACACTCCAAAGCGCCGCAGCAGCGCCTCGTTGTAGCTCCACCCGCCACTCAGCCGCACCCCGCCCACCTTGGCCTCCACCGTGAGCGAGTGCGAGGAGGCGTCGCTGCTGTCGTACGGCAGCACGTGCAGCACGGACAGGTGCAGGAACGGCAGCGCGGAGGCGGAAGCAGAGGGCGAGCGCGTGAGGGCGAAGCCTGCAGCGGAAGAGGGGTCGGGCGCGCTCATGGTGCCCGTGCGCGCCAGCGCGTCCATGTCACTGTCCCCATCGCCCGACCACAGCACCGCCCGCAAGCGCGGGGGGGCAGTCGCGCTGCCGGGTGATTGCGCCCCTGATGCAGCGGCAGCGGCCGTTCCATCTGCAGTCTCCTCCGTCTCAACACACTCCACGCGAATGCTCTGCCATGTGATGGTGGATGACGTGGCAGCCGCGCCACCCAGCGACTGGTGAGTGACCTTCATGCTCATGCCGCGCCCCAACAGCTGCGACAGCACTGCACCCTCATCGCCCGCACTGCCGTCACCCGTGTGGCCCGACTCCAGCATGCGCAGGTTGAGTGCGTCCACCGCCAGCGACACCGCACTGTCGCCCGGAGCCAGCGCTGCTAGCTCCGACAGCGCTGACGCTGTCCCTCCCGCTGCTCCACCACCGCCACCGCCGCCGCCGCTGCTGCTGCTGTTGGCGGGTTGAGATGCGGAGGCGGTTGGGGTGGTGGCGGAGGCGGCGTCGACGAGGGCGGAGAGGCCCTTGGAGGGGTCGGTGACGCGCTGGTTGCCCTTGCCCACCTTGACGAGTGCACGGCTGACACGCGTGAGGTAGTCTGCCATGCGCAGCACAAACAGCAGCTGCAGCCGTGATGTGTTGCACGTCACCTCCTGGCTCGCCACGCCCAGCCGAAACGTGCCACCCGGGGGAGGCATGCGCACGATGGGCTTGCCGTCGTGGGAGAGCATGGCCATTTCGAGGCGCGGGTCCTTGATGCACACGCACTGCAGCTGCTGGGATGCCGCTGCTGCCAGCCGCGACTGCCCCTCGAATGACACCGGGGACGACGCCCATGCATCGTCGTCATCCCCTCCACCCACCCCTCTGCCCCCCCCTCTCCCCCACCCTGTACTGCTGTCGTCGCCCCCCTGGCCGTCCCCCACGTCGAGGGAGACAGAGAGCAGGTCGGCCCACACGGCGAGGCGCATCTGCCCCGCGTCCACGGGCTGACCCGGCCACAGTGCAAAGCACGCGGCGTCTCGCTCGACGTCGAGCAGGTCAAAGGGCATGAACGAGTCCAGCATCGCGCTGAACCCCCCCACCTGCACCCGCGCCCCCGTGAACCGCGCCTCCTCCCCCGCCCCCCCTGCCCCCCCTGCTCCCCCCTCCCCTGCCTGGGAGGGCGAGTCGGGGTTGGGGGAAGCGGCGGCGGTGGAGGGGGAGGGCGGGGCGAAGGCGGCGGGGGGCACGGAGAGGGAGAGGTGCAGCCCGTCCAGCATGACGAGCAGGTAGCGCAGCGCTGCCACAGGGGGGGCGCTGTCCGCCTGCGGTACCATCAGCCCGTCCGCCACCAGCGATGCTATGCGGAAACACGACTCCTCCTGTAGACTGATCTGCAAGGGGGGAGGTTGGTGGGGAGGTGGGCAGCGGCAGCAGCAGCAAGACTGGTGTGAGGTTTTCATGGTTGGCAGGTGAAAGGGTAGCAGTGGAAAGTGTCAATCCAATGGCCTGTGCAGCATACGCTGCCAGGCACACAAGCGAGCACTCAGCTTCAACATCCTTAGGCGGCTTCCCCTCCCTCCCCAACCTAGTCTTTCCGCCCACAACTCCACAACTCCCCCGTCCCCCTCACTCAGGCGAGCAGCAGCAGCGACGGCACCTGCAGGGGGTCGCAGCGGATGACGAGCTGGGAGGCAACGGCGGGGGGCGGGGCGGGGGGGAGGGAGAAGGCGGAGAAGAGGCGGAACATGGAGGGCGGGGGGAGGCAGTCGTCGTCGGTCTCCACGGGGTAGATGCGCGGCCACACGTGCTCGCTGGCGAATGACGGCACACGCTCCACGTCGCTGCTTGCGTGCTCCTGCACCGGCTGCAGCAGCGCCACTGGCGGGTCCGAATACGTGTCCCTGGGGGGTGCAGAAGGGTGGGGCGGGGCGGACAGGAAGGCCGTTCCAAGGAAGGTGAGGTGAGAGTTTTTCGGAGGGTCAAGCGCAATGAGTGGGCGAGTGGGTGTGTGCACAACACAGAGCAAGGGCGGGACGAGAGAGTGGGAGAGAAATGCAGGGGTTTGGGCGGAGATTGTGAGAGGGAGTTGAGGTCGAGAAACGGGCAAAGGAGAGGGGGAGTGGGGCAGGTGAAGCAGGTGCGGCAGAGGGGTGAGTGCGCGGGTGCGTGTGAGGGTGTGCGTGGCTGACTTGAGGAAGAGCTGGCCGAGGTAGAGGCGCACCATGTTGCCCACCGTCGCACCGTCCGCCTCCGATGCACTGCCCTGCCGGGGGTCACATGCCATGCACATGTGGGAAGCGTTTAGCGCTCATGGACCGTGTGGGTGAGGATGGTGTGGCAGAGCCGTTGATGCAGCAGGCAGGGTGATTTTGAGAGAGGGGGCGGAGTGGAAAGGGGGGTGGTGTGTGAGGCATCACCTGCACGTATTTGAGTGACTGCAGTATGAGCTCCAACTGGTAGTCTGATGGCCATGGCGCCATGCATGCATGCACATGCCAGGCACATACACATACACATGCATACACACATGTCGTCCATGTAAACACATCCCATGCATGCACACGAGAGGGTGCAAAGGTGGGTGAGAGGGCATGCAGTGCGGTGGAGGTGGCAATGGAGGCGGTGGTGAGTGGGGAAACCACACTGCTGGCCAGGGCACAAGTCACTGGCTCACCCAGGGTATTGGAGAGTATGCACGTGGAGTGAGGGTGCTGAGCAAGTAAGAGTGTGAGGGTGTGTGTGTGCATCTGTGTGTGTGTGTGTGTGTGTGTGTGGAAGTGAGTATGTGATTGCATGTACGTGTGTGCATGCGTGCGTGCGCATGTGTGTGTGTGTGTGTGTGTGTGTGTGTGTGTGTGTGTGTGTGTGCGTGTGTGTGTGTGTGTGTGTGTGTGAGTGTATGATTGCATGTACATGTGTGCGTGCGTGCGCGCGTGTGTGCGTGCGTGCGTGCGTGCGTGTGTGTGTGCGTGCGTGTGTGTGTGTGCGTGCGTGTGTGTGTGTGTGTGCGTGTGTGTGCGTGCGTGCGTGTGTGTGTGTGTGCGTGCGTGCGTGTGTGTGTGTGCGTGCGTGTGGTGCGTGCGCGCGTGTGTGCGTGCGTGTGTGTGTGTGTGTGTGCGTGTGTGTGTGCGTGCGTGCGTGTGTGTGTGTGTGCGTGCGTGTGTGTGTGTGTGCGTGCGTGTGTGTGCGTGCGTGCGTGCGTGCGTGCGTGCGTGCGTGCGTGTGTGTGTGTGTGTGTGAGAGCAGTGTGGCAGGGAGAGCACCTTCCTCCTGGATACGAATGAAGAGGCGCTCCAAGGTGAGCGAGATGAGCACCCGCCCTGCTGTCTCGGGACCCTGCCACGTGCACACAAGCGTGGGAGCACGTTGCATTGGCTTGGCACATGACACGCCTTGAGAGCAAGATCACGGAACATAATGGCAGAATGGCGTAAGAATCTATGGAAGAAAGCTCACACCAAGAGAGAAGGAGAGGGTGGAAGAATCAGGAAGAACGAGGTAGGAGAGGGAGGGAGTGGGAGGAAGAGGGGGGAAGGCGGAGGGCGAGGGAGGGGTGGGCGACTGACGACTTGGCTCATGTCGGTGAGGTCTGATCGCAGCAGGCACGCGTACATGCCCGTCATGAACCGCATCAGCGCTCGCAGCCCTGCACCGCACACCACATGCCACACAAGGCACACGCACGACACACAGCACACACGGCACGTAGGGTCAACTGTAAGAAACATGTGTGGATGTGTGGATGTGCGCATGTGGACATGTGTGCATGTGTGGATGTGTGCATGTGGACATGTGTGCATGTGTGGATGTGTGCATGTGGACATGTGTGCATGTGTGGATGTGTGCATGTGGACATGTGTGCATGTGTGGATGTGTGCATGTGGACATGTGTGCATGTGTGGATGTGTGCACGTGGACATGTGTGCATGTGTGGATGTGTGCATGTGGACATGTCTGCATGTGTGGATGTGTGCATGTCACATATGCATGTGCATGTGGGCAGGGCCTTTGGTTGAGGGCATGGAGGGCATGGAGGGCATGGAGGGCATGGAGGGCATGGGGCGGCGCATGCCTGGTTCAGTGAGCGCGGGCACGTTGGCCTCGGACAGCTGCATGTCCACCTCCAGCCCCAACGGGTTGTTCAACTCCGTGCGATGCATCGTCACCTGCATGCACACGCACATGCACACACATACGCACACGCACACACGGGGACGAATGGAGTTACATTGCAAGGACAAGCGCGCATGCAATGAGATGAGGTGGTGGGAGATGTGGGAAGGGCTTGCAGGGCAGATGCAGAGGGGCATGGTGACCCAGACAAGGCACGGGCAGAGACAACAGCATGTGAGAGATCAGAGAGGGAAGGGATAGCGAGGGCGCACATAAGCCCGGCCTCTGATGTCGTCCACGAATCGCTCGCCCCCAAAAAAGGCCCGCTTGGCCCCGTCGCCATCACGCTCCTGGCTCTCCTTGCTGGAGTTGACCTCCAGCGCTGCATGGAACATGTCCGGGTGCGGTATGAGGTCTATTGACAGCGACTCCCACTCCAACAGCTGCCATGGCCCATGCATGCACGTGCACACATACACCCATACAACCATGCACACATGCACACATAAATGCATTCACGTGTACACGCATGCATCCATGCACGCATAGACATATGCACACACGGGTGGAGGATTGGCATGGGCATAAGAGGAATGGACATGGAGGTCAGGGGGAGCTTGATGCAGAGGAGAGAACACGGCGGCCGAGGGAGCGAGCAGCGTGAGATGACAGGGATGAGGGTCAAGGGACATGAAGAAGGTGCGAGCATGGCACAGGGGAGTATGGCTGAGCGACACATGGTGCAGGGTAGCATGGCATGGCATGTGAGGTGCTCACACGGAAGATGTAGATGCACTTGAGGGACGCGAAGAAGGTGCGCGTGTCCGCCAGGTTCACCACCTGCCACACATGGGGGGGGGAGAGGGGTCAGCCGTGCCCGCATGGCAGCACCGTCACACGCACAGAGGGGGAAGGGAAGGAGGTCGGATGCAGCTTTGCTAATTACCTGCAATAATCAGCATATTTTGAGATTGGATAATGTGGAAAAGTGCGTGTGGAAGCAACAAATCCGGAACCCTGCGTGCTAATCCATGGCGCACCTGCCAGCGTTCATTGGTGGTGCAGAGGCGCAGGCCTCGAATGGTGATGCTGGCAATGGGGGGTATCCTGCCATGGCGCCATGCCGCACAGCACAGCACAGCGCAACACACATAGTCAGAGCCGTGGAATGCACATGCATGGACATGGCATCGGTGGAGGCATGGATGGGGGAATGGGACCGACTCAGCATGCATGCGCGCGACTCACCAGGTGGCAGCATCGTGGCCCGACACATCTCTGCCACCGCGCGTCTCAATCATGAGGTTCACCACGCCCACCTCCACCGTCATGCCGTCCGCTATCTGCTCACGCACCCATGCATGCGTGCCAATCATAGGAGGATTCGGGATGAGGCGCAGGGTGCAATGTGGGGGTGGAGCACGGCACGGCACGGCACGGGGAGAGCTGCTGGGGTGTGGTGTGGCCATGCGGCAGGGCAGGGGCAGCGCGTCAGTGAGAGGGCACGGAGGACGATGAGGTATGGAGCGGAGGTGGGGAGAGGGAGCAGTGATGAATGAGCTGCTGGGGTGTGGTGTGGCCATGAGGCAGGGGCAGCGCGTCAGTGAGATGGCACGGAGGACGATGAGGTATGGAGCGGAGGCGGGGCGGGAAGAGGGAGCAGAGATGAATGAGCTGTGGGGATGATGCAAGTGAATGAGAGGATGTGAGGTAGGGGTGGCAGTGTGGCAATGAGCTGACCTTGTCCGCGAAGCCATATGATGTGCTCTTCGTTCCAAGTGCACTGCCATCCACATGCACGCCACACACACACACACACACCCCACACATGCACACCAACACCCCACACATGCACACACACGAACGCAGAGACACAGTCCCACAAGTGAATGCTAGGCGGCAAGCCATGCATCAACGCAAGTAGATGAGCGGTTGGTGGAGGCCGGCGCGAGCAGGCAGGCTACGGCCATGGTGGGCATGGCAGACGTGGCAACGATGGTGACACATGCACCCGTGCCGAGTGCTGGTGCACAAGGCAGTGAGGAACATGTGAGGCAGCGGCACAGCACAGGAAAGGAACGAAAGGCGGATTGGAAGCGAGGGAGGCAGGGAGAGGGAGCGGAGCGAGTGCAGTGGGGGCGGCGCGGCACAGACCCCGGGGAGGAGAGCGGGGGCTCGTGGGGCGCTGTTTCGCGCAGCACGAGGTCGAGCGTGGAGATGGCGACCACCGTGGGCTCCTTGTTCACCAGCGACAACGCTGGCAGCTGCCGCTCCGCCCAGCCACGCCCGGGCCACACGGTGGCGCACAGGGATGCACAGTTGGTGCCATGGGTGTACAGTGACAGGAAGCGAAATGCGGTGATTGGGAGCAGGAACGTGTATGTGAGACAGAGGGGCACAAACAGTGCGAGTGAAAAGGAGGGAATGGAGAGGAGAAAATGGGGAAGATCAAAGGAGATGGAGGGACGTGAGAGAGAGTTGATTTAACAATGCGCTGGACATGGCAGCAATGATGCATGGCACATGGGCATGGAGTATGTGACATGGCAGCAATGATGCATGGCACATGGGCATGGAGTATGTGACATGGCAGCACCTTGATCTCCAGCTTGGCCACGTGTGCCTTGGCCACTCGCAGGGTGGACGGCAGGCCGATGATGGAGTGCAGCACATCGCCATTGAGGTCTGTGCCGCATGCATGTACATCCATCCGTATCCATGCACATGCATGCACGTCCATGTAAATCCTCCCATCCACAGCCATCAGCATCCATTCACACACAAATATGTACATGCGTGGAAATTCATCCATGCGCGTCCATGCACATGCGTGCACATCCACGCATCCATGCACATGCGTGCACGGACATCCATGCACGTCCATACAGCACATCATGCATGGCCATGCATCCACGGGAAGGCGCACACACGTCATATAACTTCCCCCGCCATGCATGTGAGCGTGTGAGTGAGAAATGTCAGTCGAATGTGGGAGTGGAAGGCGTCGGTGGAATGTGCGCGCGGCAATGCCGAGGAAGGCGGGCACGAGTGTCTGCCATCACATCGCTGCCCATGCCACATCGCACAACGTCACACGCTCGCGTAGCCCACCTAGAATGAAACTCCGATGCGCCATATTTCCGGATCGCGCGGTCGTGGCTTGTCGAGTCCGAGAACCCATTATCCCAAGGCGGATTGCCTCACCGTTCGCTCAACGCGCCGCTGTGCCTTGCACAGCTGCGCGCTGCTGCGCGAGCGGCGGCTTACCGAGGTTGGAGAGCTCCACGGTGCGGCCCTGCAGGCGGAACTGGTCGCGCGTGTACGAGCGCAGGTAGTACTTGAGTTTAGACTCCAGCGCCTTCGCCAAAAGAGTCTCCATTTGCGCGCCGCGCTGCGATGCGCGCAGCGCGTTGGAGCCGGAAGCGTGCCGGGTGTGAAAATAAAGTTCTTGCCAAACAAACGGGACAGTAGTGCAGATTTTACGGAGATGACCCTAACAGGGGTGCTAGATGTTGCGAGTGAGGGGGGTTTGAATGGATTTGAGAAATGAGAAAGGGTGGATCGGCTGGCATTCAACACATAGGACCAAATACTCGCCATCGAGAATTTCCTTTAAACTAGATGACGACATAAGTGTACTGAAAATCGAGGCCAGATATGGTTTGGCGTATTTGTTCCCGCCACCAAACCCCCCGCAACCCCTGGAGGCGAGAGGTTACAGGGGAGTGTGGCTGGGCGACCTCGCGAAAGTTTCGTTTATACCTCACTCATCGAGGTGCGACCGCGCTGGCGGGCCAAACCAGGCTGGAGCCACACACAACCGCCCAGATAGCTAAAAGTTTCGTCCTCCAATCAGCGCACGCCGTGGACGTCACTCACTGCTCGACATGGTTGCTGGTCTTCGGGTTCAGCACAGCCAGTACGAGGCAGGATGATGCATCCGCTGCTCGTCGTCGGGACAGCCGTGCGGTTGGTTGGATGCGGCTGCTCGCTTCCACTTGCCCCTCCTCGCTTGCACCCACCCAGCCCAAGGCAAGTTTTCCAAGGCAGCGCAGCAGCGCTAGATCCAATTCCACCTCCACCTGTGATGTGCTGCTTCAACCAAGCCGTTCTAACCCACCGAGCTGCGCATTATCTGTCAAGCACGGCTAGCATAGCCGTCTTAGAATTTGTTGACTCGTAACGTTGTCTTTCTTGCCGATAGGCTGCTGCAACTCTGGCTATGGCGTTCGGCTCGGAAGGATGGCGGAGCATGATAGCGCGAATAGTACTCTCGCTGGTGCTCGCGAGCACCGTCTTAGGTCTAGAGGTTCCAGATAGCCAACAACCTCTCGTCTTGCCTTTAAGTTTCGGCCAGTTCGCTCCGTCGCAGCGCCTCTCCGGTGTGTCGCCGTTCCGTCGGAAGCTGTCTGAAGCGCGCATGTGGTTGTACGGCAACGTTCTCACGCAAGGGTAGGGCCTCGGGAGCAGCTTGAGCCAGTTCCGCGATGCTCGCTGATCATGCAACCAGCCCGCTCTTTTTCCGCGAACTCAAAATTGCCTGCCTTTTTCGTGGTTTCTCCGCATCCACCTGCGCTTGTTTCCCCCATGGCTTCCGCCACCATCGCTTGTGTCGCGTGCCGTGCGAGTGCACCCCCGTGTGTCGCGCTCGTCGTCAGAGCGTCGCCACGTTAGCTGGCGCGGCAGTTCTTTCCTCCATCGCTCGGTCTTCTTGCCACTCTTCTTCTGCCCCTGCCCTTCTCGCCACCTGCTTGCGCTCCGGCCGACCTTTTCCCTCAAGCTCATCCCGCGGCCCGTGTCCCACCCGCGCCTCCCGCGTGTGTGCCGCGCGCCATTTCCCCCCGTGCGTCCCCGCAGTTACTACTACGCGAACGTGTGGTTCGGCACGCCGCCACGTCGGTTCGCGCTGATCGTGGACACGGGCAGCACCGTGACGTACGTGCCGTGCGGCTCGTGCAAGCAGTGCGGCAGCCACCACCAGGTCAGTGCCTCTGCGCCCGCCAGGGGTTCCAGGGTTAGGCGCGAGAGACGGTCAGGCGCGAGAGGCGCAAGAGTTGGTTTCGTGGTTGCGTGCAAGTTCTGACATCGTGCGCCGTCTCCCCCCTCTCCCCCCGTTCTCGCGTCCCGCTGCGCGTGCGTTCGTGGTTGGCGCAGGACGCGCCGTTCGTGCCGCGCAAGTCGTCGACGTACGAGCCGGTGGGGTGCAACGCGGACAAGTGTCCGACGTGGGAGTGCGAGAGCGAGTCGGTGTGCTCGTACGAGCGGCACTACGCGGAGAACAGCAGCAGCAGCGGGCTGATCGTGTCGGACATGGTGTGGTTCGGCAACACGTCCAACATCCCGCCGTCGCGCGTGCTCTTCGGGTGCGAGACGAGCGAGACGGGCGACATCTACTCGCAGCAGGCGGACGGCATTTTGGGCATGGGCAGGGGGCCGCTGGGGCTCGTCACGCAGCTCGTGGAGCGCAAGGCCATGCGCGAGGTGTTTTCGCTGTGCTACGGCGGCATGGACGCCAACGGCGGCGCCATGATCATGGGCTTCACGCGCCCGCCGCCCGGCATGAAGTTCACCTCGCTCACCCAGGGGTGCGTGCCGCCCTCCCTCGCCTCAGCACTCTCGAGGCATCTCGGAACTCGTTCAGGCGGCTTGTGATGAGCGTTCCTTGCAGTCTGATGGAGCCCCGCTCTCACCACGTCTCACTCCTGCCACACCCTCCCAACTCAATGCATTTTGCGCGTGTGCGTGTGTGGTGTGCGTGCGTGCGAGGGGGCGAGCAGGCAGGGCACGTACTACAACGTGGAGTTGAAGAGCATCGCAGTGGCGGGCACGCCGCTGCCACTGGACGAGGCAGTGTTCCGATCCGGCTACGGCACCGTGCTTGACAGCGGCACCACCTTCGCCTACCTCCCGGCCGCCGCCTTCAACGCCTTCAAGAAAGCGGTGCGTCGCTGCTGCAATGCTGCTGCCCGCGCCCCTGCTCGCGTGACCATAGAGGGGCTTCCACTCCCATTGCGTGTTGCTGCTGCCTTGCACTGCTCTTGCTGCATGCTAACTTCTTGCTGCCACACCCACCCTCGTTTCCCCATGCAAGTGCCCCTCTCTCCCCCTCCCTCCGCCCCCGCTGGTCCGTGGTGGGCGCAGATGGCGGAGGGAGTGAACGGGCTGCGCCCCGTGCCTGGGCCCGACGAGGCGTACGAGGATGTGTGCTTCAGCGGCGCCACTGAGTGAGTCTTGTGCTTGCGTGCACGCTTGTGTGCCAACAACGGGACGGGACACACACGGATGCACACACACCTGCATGGATACCAACGGCTCATCTCTACCCTTGTTCGTCTACCAGCTCACACTCTTTCAGCCTTGATCCTACTGCTGCCCCTCCCCACTGTCCGTCCTCACACATTGCCAATCTCTTTCCCCATACTACCCTGCTATTCTTTGCTTCTCACGCGCCTCACCACTTCCCCCACACGTGTATCGTTCATCCCCACCCTCCGCATCCCCCTGGGCGCATGCAGGGACCTGGCGGAGCTGAGCAACTTCTTCCCGCCCGTGACGCTCAACCTGGGCGGCGATGTGGCATACGAGCTCAGCCCGGAGAACTTCCTCTTCCGGGTCAGCCCCGCCACCATGCCACCTCACCGCTTCTCCTCCATGCTGCCTTGCCACCCCTGCCTCTCTCGTCTCTACACCCTTTCTGTTTATCCATCTCTTATTCTTCTCCTTTCTGTTTATCCATCTCTTATTCTTCTCCTTTCTGTTTATCCATCGCTTATTCTCCTCCTCCCTGTGTATCCCCTGACCTCCCATACCCCACCACCCTGCATGCCTGCACATCATTCCGTCTTCTTGACTTGTGATTACTAGCCGCTTCAATGTGTTGTGTGTGTGTGCCTTCGGTCGTGTGTGTGTGTGCATGTGTGTACGGGCTTGCGTGCGTGCATGTGTGTGTGTGTGTGTGTGTGTGTGTATGTGCGAGCACGGGCAGCACACCAAGGTTAAGGGCGCGTATTGTCTGGCGCTCTTCGCCAATGCGGATGAGGGCACTCTCCTTGGAGGTATGCCACACCTCGCACGCACCCCGCCTTTCCAGCATCTCTTCCCTTATCAGCCAGCAGGCAACCCCATGCATGCACGGCATACAGTGCACCCAGCAGTCCTCCCCAGCTGCCGCACACACAGTTTGACAGCTCTTGCACACACACGTGTCGCACACGGCCTCTCCCCCACCTTCATCCGCCCCTTGCTGCCATCGTCTCTGCCATGTCCTGCCACCCTCCTCCCCTCTTTTTCTCCACGCGGGCTGAAACCTCCTGCTTCCCACAACTGTCACTCCTTTCTGCCCACCTCTTCATCCCCTGCGCTGGCCGTGTCGTGCGTGGCGTGCATGGGTGCAGGCATCATAACGCGCAACACGCTGGTGACGTACGACCGCGCGCGCAGCCGCGTGGGGCTGTGGAAGACGGACTGCTCGCACCTCTTCTCGCAGCTGCACGCGCTGCAGGGCTCCAACGCCCCGCCCCTCGCCGACGAGCTCGCAGAGCAGCCCCCCCCGCTGCCCGACTCTGCTCACCTGCCCCGCAACGCCTCCGACTCCTCTGACGACTCGCTCTTCGGTGCGCTGGGGTAACAGTGCATGGGGGAAGACATGGGCAGGGGCACTTGCTCATGGGACAGGGAGCAGTAGGGTCATGAAGGCATGTAGTGCCGGCAGTTTGCTTTGCATGGGGTAGTAGCATGAGGTGCAGTGCACAGCCATTCTGTCTGTCGTGCAGCAGCATGCGCATGGTGCCTCATTCCCTGCCAATACACGTGCACCACTTCGTTCTTGCTGATGCCGCCCGCTAGGTTGCACGCCGCACGCCGCACAGTGCGCGTTGCTCCCTCCCTTTCCCTGTAGCCCCTGGCCTGCCTCCCAATCCCCTGCCCACTGCTACTCCCCCTGCGGCGTGCGTGGGTGTGCGTGTGCAGACGAGTGCGAGGACTGTGCGAGCAGCCTGCATGTGGAGATGCGCGTGCCGCTGCCCCTGATCGACTTCGCCCCCCTCGTGCCCGACTTCGTGCACTCCATGGCCCAGGCGCTCCACCTCGAGGAGGTGCAGGTGCGCACGCGTGGAGGGGAAGGGGAAGGGGAAGGGGAAGGGGAAGGGGAAGGGGGGAGTGTGGGATGGGAATGATGCAAGGTAGGGAGAAGAAACACGGGAGGGAGCAGATGGGGTGAGGGCGTGGGGGATGTGGCACTGGCACGAGGAGCGGGTGAAGGTGTTGGAGTGCAGCATGGTGGAGTGTGCACGTGCTGCTCTGATGGCCATGCCAGCTGTGCTCTGCATGCACATGCCATGCACATGCCATGCACATGCTCTTCCCGCTCTCCATGCTTGT